GCCGGCTGCTCCGCTCCCCCCCGCCGGCGTTTGAAGGCAGCACTTACCCCGCTGTCCCGGTCCCCTTCGGGGCTCCCCCGCCGAGCACCGGCCGGGCTCTCCCGGTGAGAGCTGCTCCCTGCTGCCGCTCTCCGGGTGAAAATCGGGTTTAATCCGCCCTCGTCTCCAGGCCAGGACAGGCTGCAGCGAGCGACATAAACAAATCGGTAGAAAAAAAATCAGGAAAGGGGAGATGCATTAAACTAACTCACTGCAACAAGAGCCGAGTGAGGTATAACGTAGTACTTGACGTTTTTTCTCTAAACTCCCAACCATTTCACAGGGTAAGACCCCGCAGGGGTTGAAGCCTTCACAGAATTTAGATGACAGCAGAGGAGCCAGGCAGCTGAAAACCAGAGAACAGCCTCAGGAAATGCAGAGTGAGCAGTCTGTGAACATTTTCTGCAGCGCTGGTGTGGCCTGGCTAGATACAAAGAAAGCCTGAACTCACCCACCACGGGTGCATGGCTCAGGACCAGCCGCTGTGGCTCTGACAGTCCCTCTCCGGCACAGCGGTGGGATCAGGCCTCACAAACCCCCTCAGCCAATCCCCCTTGGTGCGGTTCTCAACAGCGATACCCAAAGCGTCACCCTGAGCACCCAGGAGGCAGTGATGGGAAGGGAAAAACCAGATGGCTCCTGCCACCCCACACTCTGGGCTCTGATTAGCCTCCCTTTTGGGCAGCAGGAGGGCCACAGTAGCCCTCTTGTGGGGTCCAGCTGAGTGTATGCACTAGGAGGAAAGGAATAAACAAACTGCAGACAGACATGAGCATAACAAGATTTTTAATGTACCTTTTCTCAAAGGTAGGCACGTGTTGTGCGCATTGTGCTTGGATGCTTTCAGACAACAGCAACTGCAAAAGATCCACTCAGGCAACACAGCAAAATTCCGCAGAGAATTACAGCTCTACATCACAAGAGAAACTTAAACCCAAATTAAATACAATCTATTCCAAACCTGACTGTAAAACATTCCTTTCTTTTCAAAAATTACGCTGTGCAGCTCTGGATGAGCATCCTGAGAATAGGACTGTCCTAGGAACTCGGTGAGCCAGCCGGCGCTGCAGGAAACAGTGTGTTCATCACAGAACTTGTGCATCAATGTTCTCCCGTCCGCAGCCAGCTAAGAGTGATGGTGGATCCGCTAACAACCACAGTGCAACTTGTCTTGAACACTTTGCCTGCTAAGGTGCTTTTGGACATTCTGATGGTAAAAAGGCACTAGACGAAAACAAACGCAATTGCTGAGCAGCTTGTGAGGTGAATTTCAGGCAACGCAAATCCCCACTGATAGGATTATATCAGAGTGAAATCCCAGCGATCCCAACGGGTAAAATCCAGCACAATCTCACAGCAAGCCACTTGAGACTGAACTGCTGTGTAGTTTCTGAGAGCAAATCTGTCCCGGCATATGGGAGAAGGAGGTGACTACAGATCTCTCCCACCTCCTGCGCCTCTAGTTCTAGGAAATTTAGCTTCAAACAGCACGTGTTTTGTCAGAGCAGCATCAGAAATAAGACCTGTCCTCCTAGTGCTTAAACCAGCCTCATTCCCAAAGAGAAAACAATATTCCTGTCCCAGACCTTTCCCCAGCAGCGATTCCCAGTCAGCAAACTGCACGTCGGAAATTTATGAGTGAGAGATGCTGCTGACCAGAGACGTGTAATGAGGCGACTGTTAGATGCAACTTCTAATATCATATAGTCGAGGTTGTCACTTCTTTCTCCTTCACTCACTAGGAGACCAGGTGCCTTTACGAGCCTATAACATTTATGATTAACAGCCCAAAGGGAAATATAAACCAGACTCTGTGCCAAAGCCGTGTGACCAGGGAGTGTCTCTTCTACAGCCTTGGCCAGGCTGGCACAGTTTAAACTCTGACTTTGCCATCTGTTGGATGGAGGAAAGCTCATTTAATGCAGAGCGGGAGGAAAAAACTACCCCAGAGAGGAGGAGCTGCCCTGTACTCTCCATTGCTGCCCTCTCTGTGGAGCAGACAAGTTGCATGCCCGTGAAGCTGTATGCCCACGTCACCTCAAGCTCCACAGCACACTTGATTATCATCTTAGCAGAGCAGTTTTCTGTTCTTTATCCTTTGCCACTGTGGCAACCAAAGCAACTCTTCCTATTTCAGAGATTGCAATTCCCACTGCCAAGTTCCTAACCATCTTCCCTCTATTCTGTGCAGTTTAACAGCAACTCTTTGACATAAAATGGAAAACAAGTTTTGTAATGTTTAGACAGGATGGATGAGTCCTGATTTCCTATGGAAGCCTAGGTCAGCACAGAAAATTTTCTACTGTGGCCAGTCCTGTCCTTGCTAACCATGACAGCATTCCTTTCTACCAGCAGGCAGAAGGCAGTAACAACCCCAAACTGCTTGTGCCCGTTTTGAAATGACACATTTCTCTCCCTCAGAAGGATGCCATGAGGTTAAGTTCATTACTCGTTATGATGTCTTGCCAAGAACAACAGAGAAACAATAAACAAAGGCAAAATATTGTTAAGATTTTTGGGAAATCTCAGAAGAGCCTAAATAACACAGGGAAACACCAATAGGATTAAGGCACTTTGAGAAACTTTACTCCACATTCTTTGCGTTTTCTCCTCGAAGCTGCCCGTTTTTAGAGCACATGCAGCTCGCACTCCCTCTTCAAGGCTCATATATTAACCTCCTGCCTGACAATGACGCTGCTCAGTGAATTTAATTTTACATAGCTCCCAAAGTCACCTGCAGTGAAACAGCCCCTTTGCACTCCAAGATCTCAAACCACAGCAGACACAAAGTTATTTGGCCTGGGCTTGCAAGGACTCTCTCTAGATATCTCAGCCACCAGTGAAACAGCTGCTCTTTAAAAACAGCTTCTCACAATAGTTCAGGATAAGTGAGCAATGCTGATATGCTCAAAACCACCAGGAGAAGTTGCGTCAATGGAATGGAATTGGTCATTCCATTTGGAGCTCGGCCAGGCCATTTGGGATTAACACCCTGAATATTGCAAAAGAGCCACAAAAAGTTCTGCATTAAGAGAAGAATCATCAAACCATCCTCTAAATACCTGCAGTGCTCTGCCCTTTCCACCACTTGCCAGATGACTAAACAGAGGCTCTTCCTCGGAAGTCTGCCTTCCGCACACTGGTCTGGCCACACCCTACTCAGCTTGAAAAAAACAGAGAATAAAAGAGGAGGAAGAAAGTAATTTTCCTCTTTTCCCTGTTATGTAAATCAGAGGGTTAGTTTGGTTTTTTTTACCATTCACCTTTGAAACTCCAGAAAAACACTTCTCCAGCTCTAATTCAATCATCCTTTTCTTGTCAAACACCGTGCTAAGACAACCAATTCCGATTTGATGTTCGGTTCTCTCACTTCAACTAATCTTGTCAAAACATTTTCATCTGTTAGCACCACTGTAGGACTGAGGTTCAGAAATATTTTGAGGCTGCTATAGAAATACTTGCTAGAAATATTCAAAGGTGGTATTTAAAAAAAAAAAAAAGACATTTACTAGTTTCCACAGGACTTTTCCTTCATTATTCCAACTTAGTCTAAGTATTTCTAAAACTCTACACAGCATTTATTTACTCATTGCTCTGAAACAAAGAACCCCGAAGTAAGAATTGGGCTTGTGCGTTGAATCTCCTTAGAGTGGGATCCTCAACCTGCAGGTCTACTTGTAAAAAGCATGACTGAGGCAATGCAAAACCCTAAGAGATGTATGGCAAGACATGCAGGGATAGAAATGGGCGCTTAAGATACAATCAAGCTTACCAGAGTTAAAGAAAGAGAAAGTCTGGGTCAGCATGACCCACTAGAAGATTCTGTGTTTAAAGTGGCTGAGAATGTGCAGCCAGTGAGTGGTAATCAAGAAGCAGGAACTAGCAGCAAAGAAACAGAAAACCGAGGTTCTGTGCACACTAAAGAGGCTTTTAGCTGACAGCAGGAAGGAGCTACCTGTGCAACACAGAGAAAAGAACATGGTGCAAACAGCAGGCCACAGAGCAAGGAAATAAAGCTGTGTGGATGCAGTGACAGGAAGTGACGTATGTTGATTAAGCAGCATTAGCTAGGCCAGGATCCCTTTCTGTGATCCAGGACAAGCACAGGAATTCACCCACTTTATTGGGTGCCTTTTCAGAGCACAGTGTCTGCTAGGCAGTTGTCTGGTTGGTTCCACACTCCCCCCACTAAAAGTGTGCTGATATTAGAGGAGACAGAAAAAAAGTGCTCAGCTGAACAGCTTCCAGCAAAGCAGTTCAGTGTCTTCAGCAGAACTGCAGTTGCCTTCTCCTCCTGCTTGGTCCCAGGAGGTGACTTCCTACAGGCTGGTGGAGCTCTGACATTTCCAACATGCTCATGGCAGAGCACAGCCATCAGTTTCCCCTCCTTCAGGAGAACACCAGGTAGCCACGTACATGCCCCTTTCAGCCTGCCTTCCTCGTAGCGCTGTCGGTGTTCTTCAGTGCACACAGGAGGCTGCAGAACAGCTCATACCAAAAGAAGACAAGGCCAGTAGAGACAGCAGCCTTCAGCAAGCTGGGTGAAAGGCCCTTAAAGAATCCACCCGGGCCCTCCTCTCGCATGATCTGCCTTATGCAGTCCAGGAGACCCCTATACATCCGTACCTGGGAGAGAAATAGTGAAAAGGTTAAACAAGAAAAATCCAGGACAACTTACCTGAAAAAGAACACAGAGAGCCCCAGACTGTATCACTGAAACATAATCTAGACATGCAGCCTGCAGATGCCTTTCTGGTTCTTATTATAACTGAAAGTTTCAGACAGTCAGTTTGTAGAGAGTGCGGTAGAGGAAAAGCCATCAGCAATGGCTTATGCAAATCATTCTAACTGAATGCCTATAAAATCTTTATGCTACGACAGCATGTATTATTTATGGCATACATTTGTGAAGTAATTATTTCAGATTGTGCTGCTACTGTTTTCCATCCCCGTCATTCTCCAAAGAGGGACAACTTTTCAGTTTTCTGACAGAATGAAAACAAAGCTACAGTACCTGTAAGTCTCTGAATTAGCTATCTGCATGTCATTGCGTCACACTGTGAAGGTTTAACATTTTGTGACACATCAATATTTAAAACAAATTCCATACCTCATTGGAAGAGGAAAGGCATCCAGTGCAATAGGTTAAGACTTCAAATTCCTATCCCAGAGCTTCTTGAGGTACAGACTGATTTGCTTCTCAGATCCAAGGAATTTGAAGGAAAAAGAAAACTTCCACATTTCCAGGAAAAAAAGATACAGCTCCTTGAAAGTTCTGTATTTGTCTTACAGTGTACTTTGAGGTGGTAAGGATGGCGCTAAAGAACACCACAAGTATTTAATTTGCTTTGAATTTCAGGATGTTCTGTATATAAGACACATGCTGAACACTTGTTGCCCATTCCTTGCATCAAAATAATAATTGCAGAAAAGGATCCCGACAGGCAGGTGATCCCAGCGTAAACCTAGTGTCATCCTCTGCTAGTAATTTGGTCCTGAGTCACAAATACCAAGCTGCAACTAGAAAAGTGAAGTAAATCGAAACCCCTTTGCCTGCCTAACTCATCCCCAGCTCTGAGACAGCCAACCTGACGGAGATGGATGAGAAGGCAGAGCACAGGACATTGTGTTGGACAATGTCATTAAATGAACCCAGTTTATTCATGCACCTATTCCCATTATTAAGAGAAACCAATCCTCAGCTCCCAGAAGTTCCCTGGGACATCCCAACCCAAACCTGAACACAACAGGCAACACTGGTGAATCATCACTGCATTCTGATGATGACTGGCTCAGGATTGCCTTGATGCAAATCCACACTTAGGAAAATCAGTCAATTCCAGCATTTCTCACCTGCCCGAAGGCTGCCCGGGCATGTTCAAAGCCACGCACTTGCAGTCGTTTTTTGAACAGGTCAAAAGGGTAAGTGAGGGTTTTGCTGATGATTCCGGCACAGCTGCCACAAACAAGGTTTTTAACATTGCCTGAGAAGCAGAAAGGGGAGAGAAAAAAGAGGATAAGCAGGGACTTCTGATTAAAGAGTCACGAGAGGTAAGTTAAAAATCACTTTTCACAAGAAGTAAGGCCAAAAAGGCCCTTCAAAGTTACATCACCTCTTCTGCATAGTTTGGGCTGCAGAATCTCAATCTGTATTTTGTGCATCAGGCTCATAATGCCCGTTGGAGCCAGAGCGTAATAGCTTCTCTTGGTTCATTACACTGATTTACGCTTTTGCTCTGCCAAGTGGCATTGCATAAAAAAAACCCCAGTCACCAGAGAACCTGCCACTAGTGGATGGAAGAGTTTTCATGCCCCCAAGTAAAAGCCCACTCACTGGAAATCTTGAACTCCTGATTGCTCATACTGACTTATTCAGGATTGGAATAAGTCACAAGCTGACACCGCCTGATGATTTCAGAGGCTTGTGGGAAATGAGTTTTGTGATACCAGACTTTTTCCTGACAAACATGAGTTCCCAGCACAAAACCACCATCAGTCTCTGCCATCTAAAAATAAATATGCAGACACGATATTGAAAAGTCTCGTTCTGCTATCTGAAGAAATTCCATTAAGGAACAAAACCACGCTGATCCTGCACACACTCTCTCTCTGGGAGGCACTAGTATCTAGAACTGTCAAGGTGACAGGTTGCATCAGGATGAGGTTGTCTTACAATGGCTCTAGAAATCAACACAAAAATACCAAATCAAGAGCTTGGCAGTTTTAAATTAGGCTAAATGAATCCTCTTCTGTAACAGCTGTGCTGGAATCAGCAGGCAGATTTCCTGAGGAAATACAAGAGTCCTGTCCCCACAACACTAAAGAAACTGAGAGAAGCATTACGCCAGCACCGTTCTCCCACAGTATGAGTAATGTGACACAGCTCAAGAAAGAGTATCCTGGCCTGTGACACTTCACTTTCCCATCCACCCACATTTCTATCATGGTTATGCCATAACATGAGCTGTTTGTAAACTTCACTGTACTTATTTTTACAGTATCTGTGCAGGGGTAAGAATGAGAGATGGGAAACTGAGATCCTTTCAGATGTTGTATCAAAAAGGGTGATAGGACAGAAAATTGAGCTCACATCAGTCTCCCAAACTAGCATTCATCCTCTCTTTCTCCCCAGATCACAGATACCACCCTCCCAAGTGCCTACCTCCTTTCTTTCCTTCAGCTGGAATCACCCATTCAGAAAACTGTTGCAGGATGTTGTAGAAGGAGAACTGGAGACCAGCATACGGAAAGATAGCAATGATTGTGGGGGTCAAACCTCTATAGAAAGTCTGAGGCCCTTCTGTCTGGTACATCATCACCACTGCATGGCGAAGGTTGCGATAGATCTAGACAATAAAGAAGAGGCAGGCTCGCTAGTGAAACAGGCTTAAAAACAGCTTAAAAACCAAAGGTCAGGTTATTTCCCAGTAACAAGGACAGGAATTTCCCACTGCCCAAAATACAACTGACTGATTTTCAGCACAAAGCAATGGACAAAGTGATTTTGCACATGTTCACCCGGTATTCTCAGCTAAGCCCTTGTGACTCTTGTAAGTCGACAGCCTAAGCCTACCTCTGAGCCAGAAGAGACTAACTGAACAAACGACCATTAGCTCTGCACTGAAAGGCCTGGGCTGACATTGTATCCCACATCCAAGCTGTGCTTCTGAGGGGAAGAAACAAGGCACAGGGCAAAAATGCTGCAGCCTGAGGCCACTTGCATCACAAACACAATTATTTATTTTTCTCTTAAACAGCTCTACTTGCTTCTGCAACAGAATTCATATAATATATATTGTAGTTCTATGGCAGGCTAAGTCAAAAAAACAGAAATGGCTCTGATGCAAATCCATATGAGTCTAGTTATTACAGATCTAATTAGCATGGAGACCAATTCTTGCATAAATAAGAACATGAAACACAGGTGAAAGTTGACTGGTTTCAAGTATCATCCCCATCACTACCTAAACATGACTCTGTGCAAGTGGAAAGTTTCAAACACGCAACATTCAACAGACTGGGGAGTGTACTCTATAAATAGCCAACAGCCAAAATGAAGATTCAGTTATCCTGTTAAAGACAGTTTCTCCTTTCTAGATCACCTGTCAGGAGTTGAACACAATCAGAAGCAGCAAAACATAATTAAGAAGGTTATGTCAACAGCACAGAGGATAACGTGGCAACAGTGCAAACATCACCCAATAACAGCACCTGCTCCTTTATGCTAACCCACAGGCTGTTAGGTACTTTTCAAACCTCCTGTATTCATACACATGAAATACTGCTGCTGCTATGGAAGATAATTGTGAACATTAATCCTCAACCATACCTTAGGCTCGCCCTGAGCAGCAAAGCGGGTGCGTAGTGTGTCAAGAGGCTGAACTGCAACAGTGGCTGGGGGAGCAGGCAGGCCATGTGGCAATCCAGCCAGTCCACCACAGACGAAGTGCACAAAGGAATCGCGGGCATTGTATGAGGTGACGTTGTGCACCAGTTTTGTCAAGCTTTCAAACGCCATGAACTTACAGAAACAAACATACACAGGTCAAGGAGTCAATCCTTCTCACTGACATGGATCTCCCACTCCTTTCTCATTTCACCAAAAGAGCTCCACCCACCACTTGTAGCCACCTTCTCTCTGTCCTTCAAAAGTCCTCCCCAACTTGCAACCTGTTGGAGCATGTGCTTAAAGAATACCTTGTAAAACTCACTGAGCAGCCCAGAGAACGCTTAGGATATTCTGATCTCTGGACACTTCTGCTAAATCTTACATTTAGAATTGTGAAAAACTAATGTTAATGTTCTGTGTCCTGAAGAGCATTTGCTATATTACAGATATGCTGTCCATTGCTCTTTCAACCACTGCTCACAATTTTTAAGTATTAAAAAAAATAGTTTAAGTGTAACAATGTGTAAAACACCATCATCAACTTCATCGATTTTTTTCCTAACAAGCTCTTAGGGCGACAGCGTGAACAAAAGCAAAACCTCACAGGCTTGGAACATGAGCAGCTAAGCCAAGTGTCAAGAACAAACAGGGCTTGTCTGTGATGCCAGATACAGGCAGAACTTGGTTTGCTCTAGCTGTGCCAGGCAGGCCGTTCAGCAAGCTCAGCAATATTAACTTAGGAATTATACATCAGCATTATACAAATACACATCTTTGAGACTGGAGCTGACTTGCATCAGTACAGTATAAGCCTGGACCTTCCTGCATCTGCCCATGCAGCCACTCTGAAGAGGAGCAAAGCAGAGTCCTATATATGTAGGTTGGGCCCAGATGATGTCTGGTCACCTTACCTGAACAGCTCCATAGCCAACTGAAAGAAACTGAGCAGGAACATGGCCCTTCCAGAAGGCTACCAACCCCTCTTCCTGGAAGATGCGCTGTACAGCTTGCAAGATGCCATGATACTTAGCCGCTGGGTTTCTGGAGGAGAGCTGCTCGATCTGAAGCTGGAGGAAAATAGAGAAAACATTTTCAAATCCACATCACATTTCAATGAAGTTCAAGTGCCCAATTCAGGAATTCACAACCTTGTCAGCCAACCAATGCTAAGAGATGACATTCTGCCTTCCCACAGAATCACATCTACAACTGACTAGGATGTGATTTACATAGGGCTCTAAAAGAATAAACACAGCCATGCAACACAAAGGTAATCAGTAGGTATGATGGTGAAATTCAGTTAGATAGTGGAGATCATTCAGAAAAACAGAGAAAGAGCACAAACTGTGAAAAACACAAGATCCCATTCAAACACACAAGTTATATAAACAGAAGCAGTGGACACATGACAGCCCTACTACCTTACATAACCTGTATACAACATAGGTGAGGGCTGATGAGCAGATTTAGTGCTTTCTGGTTACACAAGTGACCTGTTCATCCAGGCCAAGTTCAGCTCTGCTCTCTAACAGGCTCTTTCACCCCCTGTCCCTGAGCATGCCATGAGGAAGGTACCTGAAAGCGGATCTTGACAACATCCAAGGGACTGACAAGGACTCGAGTGACCAAGCCAGATGCTGATCCTGCTGCAGCCGCTTCCACCGTGGAGACACACTTGGCCTCAGGGTCATAGCCGACCATGCCTGCCTAGTGGCCCTGCAGCCTGGGCAGCACAGCAGGTTGCCCCAGTGAGCCCTCCCCAGCCAAGGGACTCCTTCCCACACGGAGAGTCTGTCAGCTTCACCTCCCTCAACCCACAGATCCCCTTCCACACCCTAAGGGCCCCACAGTCCCCCTCACCACGATCCCCACCCCACAGCCGCC